TCTAAGACCAGCTTGGCTGTGCTGGAGGACCTCAGGCAGAAGCGGGTACCTCCTCCTGAACGTGCGTTTTGTGATCTTTGTGAATGTAAATCCCTCACATGAGTGAACACTGCCATGGAGCAGCTCTGCACTTTGTAAAGGCTTCAGGCTTCGGGGCAGCCTCATTGTTGAAGATTTCATTCTTTGACATTGCAACCATGATTCTTATATGCTGGATGGCAGAGATACTGCAAGGGGAGGGAGAGAATGTGTGTTAAGCCTTTGTGGAAGGACATGCTGCATGTTTGCTGCTAGAGTGTAGCCAAGGGCTCTGTTTATGATTTTTGCTGTAATAGAATCTGGCAACATCAGATAAGGCTGGAAGAGACTGTTTTGTGCGAGCCCTGCGTGAGCTCTGTGATGAAATGTCTTACAATTAAAAATTTAATAACATTCATCAATGTATCGCGGTCTAACAACAGCAGCTAGGAAACAATGAGACTGAAATTAAACCACTGGGTGGCTTTTTCTGCCGTCCTCTCAAAAGCTCGCCAACTCTTCCCTACTTATCTGCTGTAAGGTAAGTCTAAATGGGAGGAAGAAATGATGCCCTGAAACGTGAAGTGGAAGCTGATAATATTCTCCCTTTGGTTTGAGAGGATGTCTAGTGCTATGCTGGTGGCATCCTCTGCAAAGCAGGTCTGGATGGTGTAAGTAGGTTATATTTAGCAGTTGGTGGCCCTAAGTGTGTGGGGTTTTGTCAGCTAAAAAGGACAGCGATGTGCTGTGAAGTGTCAAATGGCATCGTGGGGCTCTGTCATTATTGCCACTCAATGGCTCTGCATCCAGTGTGTTCAGATTGCAAGCAGAAAGATGGCTTTTCTGGCTGCCAACTTTGCTGACTCCATCTGGGATCTAAAATTCAAGCTGCGTCTTTCCTGGCTCTGTCGCTAATAATAAAGATTCTTCATTTGGAACTTAGTTAACAAAATTGATGCCGAGGCATGAGCTGAAAGAGAATCCAGCTCGCTTTCCTCGAGACGTGTGGGCTAAAGCACTAACAAGTAGGAACATCATAATTTTAATCTATAAGGTCATCAGACAATTTAATAGACACCAGATTCGTGGAGGAAGCAGAAGATATTTTAGCATAACAAGCGTGTTGATCATTCAGCTTTTTAACAAATGCTAGAAAGCTGATTGAATTTGGTCAGCTAGGCTCCTGCTTCCAGGCTAGCCAGTAATAGCTTGTTACGTGTCTTTAGGAAGCTTTTCTGCAAATCTGGGGAAATTACATTTGGTGTAACATATGGTATAATCTTCAACTCTCTCCTTGGGAAGTGAAGTCTGACTACTCAGTCAATGAATTGCCATATTTTTATCAGCAAAATGGATGTGCAGCTGTGACATACACTTTTGAGTGATGTAACCTTTAATGTCTTTGGCAAATACAGGCATTAGCAGTCTGTTCCTCTCCATTTACATCTCTTCCAGAAAGTCATTACCAGCTGAGATTATACTAACACTTTCTGTTGTGTAGGTGTTTCCTCCTCTGATGCTATTGAACTGTCAGGGAATAAGATGCCTAATGTTCTCATTTTCCTCCAAGGAGACAGAGAACAGCGCTTGTGCTGCTGCTTGTTGTACAGAAGGGAGGGGGTGAGAAGTGCACGGCGCTGTGTGTTGTGAATTGGAAGGACACGCTGTGCAGGATTGTTTGCTCCACACCGCCTCCTGCGGCTCCGTTTTCCTAAACTCATGGGGGAGGAATATATTGGCTAAATTGTACTTGTAGGCATAATATTACAGTGCTTGGAAGGAGGAAGGCAAGTGGTGCTTAACTTTAAACAAGCACCGCGTATGTTGGCAAAGGGTGGTGTTTTCAGCTGCTTGCTCCTCGTTGTGCCCCTCATCTCTGCTCAGCTGATCCTTGGAAATCGATGGGATTAGTCCCCAGGGGCTGCACGGCTTCGGCAGAGCCAGCTGGAGGGCTGCTCTCCTTTGCTTTTGAGGTCAACGGGGAATCTGTCCTCTTGCAGGGCTCTCTGGGATCCCTGTCGTGCCAGCCCACCCCTACTTGCTGCTTTTTAGTATTTTATCAAACCTCCCTTTCCTAGCGCCTGCTTCCAACCACCAGTCACCATCAGCAGTCAGGCGAAAACCCGCGGGGAAATGTGAGTGGCCTTTAGGGTGTCGTCTTCTGTGGCCCACCATGACTTTCCTCAGACCCGTCTTGGTTTTTTTTTTTTCTTGATCTCATCCCTTTATTGACTGTGAAACACCTCAGGAGGGTCTTTTGGGAACTGTTGATGAGAATGAGATGTCTCTTCTAAAGATGAGCTTGGGCTTGAAGTCACACGGGCCCAGAGCCTTAATGGTGCCCAACTCTCACGGGTTACAATGGAAGTTGATACCGAAACAGCAGTTAAAGCTTTGATGTTTATGACCCTCAGAAAAGTAGGCTCTTAAGTGACTTCCTTTTCCTATAATGGGAAACACCTTTTCCTAAAGTGTGGGCTTATTACATCACTTCAATTCAGAGTTGCTGAAAACATTTCCTTTAAGAGAATCACTTGGATGGCTTGGAGTCCCTCTCTGATGAGTTGAGTTGCTGCCAGCCGACATTTGTCTCTTTGCGCTAATGGCATTATTACCTGACTTTTAAAGCCTGCAGTTATGGAGCATAATGATAACCCTCTTACCTCCTGCCACATTATGGTGCAAATACTTAACTCTGCGCCAACACCGACGCTTTACATTTTAATTCGTTTCTACCAAACAAGGAGTGAGCACATCTCTGTTAGGAAAGAAATAGTTTCAACCTGTCATGGGGGAACAACAACAGTTACTGTGAAAAGGGGGATATGGTCTGAATTCCCAGGGACAGCTGTCTTTAAAAATGGACACGCAATCCCCTAACCCCCAAACCTGCCAAATTACCAGGCTGAATTTCCTCACTAGCAGGCTTCTGAGGGCTGCTTGCTTGGCTGTCTGCTCTAGGATTATGAGAGAGCATCTCCCTTATCATTTTGCACATGCTGTACCATCTGTCCTAAATCTCCCTTTACAGAGGTATGGATTCCAAATGACATTTCTTTCTTAGGAGATAACAGACATGTCTGAAGAATCTTGCTAGGTATGGCTGTAGTGCTATTTATGTGGAATTTTTTTTTCCCCCCTTTGTCCTGCAGCCAGAGTGAACTCTGGTGAACCTTTCTAGTTTTTTTACAGCCAGATATTGAGAAATGTTTTATGCTGTAGTCCCTAGGAAATATGGAGAAAGTCCCGCTGTTCTTTTGTGTGTGTTCTGCTCAAAGCAAGCAAAGGTGAAATATTACTGAATTCAGACATTACAAGGACACAAGAGATGCCTTTAATCTTTTATTGTACATTATAAAATGTTTATTGCTCTGTCTGTATCAGAGGTGTTGACCTCTCCCTCTTGGTGATGGAGGAGTATGTTCTGGCAAAGGATCCACTGAAGAGACCGTTGGGGTTGGCCTGCCTTCTGAAACGGGCACAAGGGAAGCTCTTGCTTGTTCACCAACAGGTCTACAAGCAGACTTCCTAGTGCCTTTCTCTCAGATCAACTATTTTGGAAAGGCTGGTGACAGTGGAAGAGGAGAGATGGCTGAACTCTGTTACTGCCAGCCTGTTTCTTTGCAGGGACTTTTAAACCAGGCTCGTCTGAGTGCAGGTTTGTTGTAACAAGATTCAAACCCTCCTCAGGCCAACCTCACTCGGTATTTGATGGGACAGGTAGGATCTTGCCTCATCCCCAGTGCGTATGGAGTGATGGTGTGGAGTAATTAAATACAGATACCCCATGGCACACTACAAAGAGTAAATCTTTTCCATGTGATGGACTTGCATCTACCAGCTTCCAGAGCACCAGCAATCCCAGGGATCCTGTCAGCTTGCAAACATCAAGCACTTAATAAGAGAGAGGAGAGCCCCAGCCCCTTTCCCCTTCATCGCCATCCTTTTTACGGAGGGCTGCCTCCAGCAGATAACTGGCATACAGCATCACAAAAACAGTGCAGGCAGGACGTGTAAGGAGAACCAGACTTTCCCACAGGAACCCTACTAAAAGAAGCAGTTTAAGAACTTAAGCCCTCAGAAAAAGGTCCCTTAGGCAAGAGCCTTTCGCAATAAATAGCTGTTGCCGCTGGAGACCTTGCATAGCAACCGGTATCATGAGTTTTTTTTTCTTTTTTCTTTTTTTTTTTTTTTTTTTTTTTTGCTGACTGGCTACATTTTTACGGACCTTTTATCACACTAGTGGTGGACTCGGGCCCAGCTGAAAATACAGTGAAGAAAATGGTTGAAATTATCTTGGAAGCTAAATAACGGCTTCTGGTGTCCCCTCTTGTTGGTCTGTGCCTCAGTGTTCGGTGTGCCCCGATTAGCTGAGATGAAGAGCACCAGTGTGAGACAGGAGAGACAGCAACAGTGGAGACGTGCTGCAGCCTAACTGGAGAACGACCAGGGAAGTTCTCGCAGTGGGAATGGAAACTGGGATATGCCTTTTTTTTTTCTTTTTTTTTCTTTTAAAAACTCACCTGCAAGATGTGTTACACAACACACATTAATGGAACAAAGCAAGCTGAGAGCACACAGCAGCCAAAATCTGGTTGCTAGTCGTGTCTTGAGCTTTCCTCCTTTCTTGCTTGGAGAGGAGTGACAGTGACTGATGCCTGAGCTTACGTTAAGACTGTCAAGATGTAGTGACAGTGAGACAAAATAAAGATACAATAAAACCTTTTACATTTCCAAAGACAGGAAAACTGTTCCAGAAGACGGAGCATGAGGGTGGAGTGTGTGAGAAGTTGCTCCGGCCCAGGTGATTCACGAGTCCGGTACAGGATCACTGGCAGCAGCTGTCTCACTGATGCTTTTCCATCTTAATTGTTTATTTGGGTTTCAGGGTTTTTTGCAGGATTTTTCTTTCTGGCCAGATGTTTTGCAGAACACAGACAAGGAGGTGCATGCCGGCAAGTGACAATCACAAGGTCTCTTTCCAAATTGCTCCAACAATATTTCACCTCCCTAGTCATCAAGGCTCAGAGGCAGAAAGTGAGAGTGAGGAATGGAGTCCATCTATCAGATGGCAGGCTGTCACGCTTCAATGATATTCACTGAGGGCTTGTTTTTTGGAAACTAGAGGAGAAGAGGAGACAAAGGAAGAAAGGATGTATAGGAATTGCTAGAGAGGAAAAAACCCACATCAGAGATGAGCACAGTATGCCGGTCAGTTTTTGTTTTTCTAAAATGTCTTATTCCCATCCCCTCAGGAAAATGGAAAAGGGCCAGAGTTGAGGCTTTAGGATTGTTTGATTCATCACTCTCTGCTGCTGAATGCGCGTGAATGAGTGGGCGATTTCAAACAACATGTAAACGTGAAGTGGTGGGGATGTGCCGGAGTGCAAGTTGTGAATAGAAACACAAGAAAGTTAAATTGATTGAAATAAATTGGTATAAATTATATGCTTGAGTCTGTTTACATTATGGGTATGGGACACCTTTAACATCACGTGTGTTTCCAGCCGTGCTCCTGCTGATCAGCTCTTCAGTTGATCGCAAGAGTATTATCCTCTTTACCACACCTCACCTAAGGGCTGCTGTGGGGGTAAGGTCCCAAGCAGCTCAGGGACTGCAGCATCACTCAGTGCATTTTTCTTCTAGAGATGTTCAAATATTTCCGAAATATGGATTGAAATCTGTTTTACTGATGGACGTGCAGGCTGATCCAGAGGTGGGAGTGCAGTGCTGGTGTCCCGATGCATCTGGGAGGCTCAGCGCACTAAGGAAGCCCTGGTGCTGGCCTGCGTGGATGTGAAGGGGTGTTTCCTTTCTGCATCCCCGCCGGAGGGAGGAGGCTGGAGTGAGGTTGTTTAACAGAGGCTGCTTTTTGGGTAATTTAGCTGAAGCCCAGCTGGAATTTGATTGTCTGCCCCGACCCCCATCATGTGCCAGCAGCATCTCACCTTGCTGCGGAGGAGCCCTCCGCTCTGGTGCTCAGGAGTGCTGTTCTCCGAGGCGCTCTTGACTTTCTCCTTGCTGTTATTTGGCTCATTATCTTTGATGATATCGTACTGTCTGCAAAACAGGGCGATCACCCCTAACAGGAAGAAAGCATTATTGATCACACAAATGAGCTCGGCCCCTGGAGCCTGCAGAGATCAAGAGATCCCTTGCTTGCCAGCCAGCTTTGTGCCTTCTGGTAGAGATCTCAGCAGCATTCGCAGTTGCTCCAAGGATCATTTGCTAACACAGCTAGTCAGCCCTCTGGCTCTTTCCTTCTCAATGCCTAATCCCGTGCTAAACTAGTTAGACAGAAGGACAGAAGATTAATTATATTCTAACTTCCCTGACATTAAATGGGACAAATGTTTTAAACCCTCCGTTTGGATAGCGATCAACACTAATCATGCAGCTCTGCAAACACAGGAGCTCCTGGAATTTCTGGTTAGTGACGATGTGTCCTCTGATCTTTCACCTCTGGGGTGAAGAGAAGGAGCTGGAGGTGGCAGAGGAGAGGCAGGTACTGTACCTGCCTGCCTGTGATACAAGCCAGGGCCTTTTGAGAGCAGGACAACATCTGCAAATACGCAACAGTGATGGCAGCAAAAGCTGCCAGTGGAAATTTCCTCCCACACACACCGGCACATGAAGGGAAAAGCAGGGGCAGCCATGACACATAACAAGACTGCAGATGTCTTTCTCGGAAGCTTTTACGTGACATTTTGACCAAATAACCTCTCTGCCTGCAGATTCCAAACACCGAGCTTAAGTAGACCCAGGCAGATGCTGCTTCTCCCTTACTGAAAAATATTCCAGCTCCCCTAATAGCAAAACATATGTAAAGCTTTCACCAGATCGTCACAAACTGCTTTATAAGGCGAGATGTTGTTACGGCAGCTGCCCCCGGGTGTTCCTGATAAACTCAGTGGTCCAAACTCTTTCTTGCGTATGTGAGCAAATGGCTGATCCTAGGAGAATAGGGTAACATCTGCCACAGTCACACCTTCTGTGTTTTCTGATGGTAAAACTGAGGCACAATGAAGCAAAGTGCTGTGAACAGTACCAGAAATACAGACAGCGCAGGAGCTTGGGTCTTGTCTCAGTTCAGAGCCCTTGGCACAGCCCGTTTTCGGTTCACATTTGCTAAAGCACCGTCATACGTTCATGTTGTGGCCAGGCCAGGTTAAAAGCTGGAAAGAGGTTTTTGTAAAGAACCCACTAGACGTAGAGAGATTTTCCACCCACCCACTTTCCTTTTTAAATGTATGTCATCTGTCTAGAAGGGAAATTGTGGTATTAGCAAATTCTTTGTTCTGACACTGATCTGAGTTTTAGATCATACTACAGTGGGAGATGAATCAGTTGTTCGGTCGCTTCATGTAATTGTTCATGATTGGTTTTACTGGCAGGGTATTTAAGTTTGAATGTACACAAATAAAACTTGACATAAATGCTGAAAAGATTATGGACTAGAGGTTTTGGAAACCTTTTAATTTAGTTTAGGGTTTCATTTGGTTATCATCTTTAGCAATAATTGCTGTCCAGTTTCTGGAAATGCAAATCACACATGGTAAAGTCAGGACTTTCCAGGGCAAAAAAAATATTACACGTGGATCTGGTTCTGCGTCACCTGGATTCACTTGTGTGAGACCTTGCAGAACTGTACAGGACACGGTTAATCCCTCCATCCCCCTTTGTTGTGAGAGATCTCAGAGCAGTGACTGGCTTCTTCTTCACATCTCTCCCTGGAGGTATCTCATCTCAGCAGATCTAGTATAAGTGGGCCAAATCTTCTGTTGGAGTAAACTGATGCAAGCCCTCTCAATTCAGGATTGTTACAGTTTGCAGCAGCAGAGATGACAGACCACCTTTAGAGGACATCACGTTAGCTCACCACTACATGTTGTCAAAGTCATCAGCCACTCAATACTACTGTGGTGGGTTTCTCTTCTGACCGAGGAAAATTCTGTGTGACGCTCTGTGTGTGTAAAAGTGGTTTGACTGGGACAAGAGGACCAAATACCGAGTGGCAAAAGTTGTCTTTTATGGATCATAGATTTACCATAGTGCTAATTTCCCTTCCTGCCAATTTCCTTGGGTCACCTCAACCATCCCCCTTGGGCAATGTGCTCTGTGGCTCACAGGGACCAAATGTTGTTTCATTAATGTTTCACGTTGCAGCAGGAGCAGCAGCTGACTGGCAGCCAGGGGAGGCTGGGGCTCTAAATAGAAAACAAGCATGTGCAAACTTTATTTCCCATTAACTCATGCATGTAATTTCCAAACTGAACAAGCTGAAGGGCTGGCTACAGCCGCTTCAGACATGCTAAGCTGATGGAGCAGAAGTCAGAGGCACTTTCCTCTCCCTGTTTGCTAGCCTAAAACATATGAGCGAGATCTGCCCCAGGTACAATTTGCTGTAAGCTCTGTTGAAATGTGGTCCCAAACTCGTGTCAGAAAACTCTTTGTTCTCTTTGAAATTTAATTTATATGTTTGCATATATTACAGAAAGTCATAGTAAGGGGTCTTCATATGGAAGCAGCACATCTACCTGATGCTCTTTTAAAGGCTGTGTTGATGTATGTGCCTAGCTATGCCCATCGCATCCCACAGCAAAGTGGCCCTAGGATGACTTTACTGCACCTTCCACAGCACTGGGTGCTCTCAGCTGCAGCTGGGCACGTGGTTGTGCTTCGGAAGTCATGCACTACAGTAGCTGTTTTGTAGGAGAGCCTCCGCTTGGCTTAGAACGATTAGTGGCTGCAAGGTGTAAGGAGGACTCGAGTGGCACTTCAAAAGATTGCCAAAAGTTTGGCTCCAAAGCACCCTTTGGGGTAGCAGCTTACAGCTCATGCTAGTCCTTCCTCTTCCCACCATCCCAAGCTCATGTAGACTTTTCTTTCCTCTCGGTTAATATATTTCTGCTAATGTCCCTCCTCTTCCTATTAAATACTGTTCTTTGTATTTTAATAGTGGATGTTGAGAGGATCTGGGTTTACTGGTGTTTTGATGTTTGGGGCCATTTGTTCTTTCAATGCTTCCATTATTTTAATTGATTTTGAAGTGGGTTTTAGTGTATATATATAATAGTGGATGTGGAGATCGAGACTCTTGCATTTCTGTTTTGCATGAGAGTTGGAGCTGTGTAGTAGCCAGATAATTACAGTGACCTGTAGGTATCATTTGAAGGGCTCGAGGCATCCTGTTGGGTGGCTGAGGGCATTACCATCAGTGCATTCTGGAAAAATTGAGATTATGGGATTAGCCATGGGGAATTAAGCAATTGGTTCGTCAGGTCCATTATCTACTTCCTGCTGGACCAGATCTGATTCACCTGCTTTTGGTACCCAACTTGTGATGCTGGAGAGGGAACTGAGGTGCCCTTACAGTGGCATATGCAGTACTCTTTATGGGAGGAAAGGTTTCTTTTCAGGTCTTGCATGATTACAGGTGCAAACCAAGCAAGCCAGTGGGCCCTGGGATATTACATGCTTTTGACAGAAAGATTGAACTGACCTGCCCACATGAACAACACCACAACAATGATGAGAATTTCCCCCGCTCGCAGCTGTTGGTTTTTCTTTGCCATCTCCTTCATTGTCACCTCATCTGCACAAGGGGAAAGAGAGATCATGAAGCCTGACCGCGCGGCTCAGGCTGCACTAGACACTGGTTTAACAGTGCCCTTGACTCAAATCATCCGTGCAGCAGGGTCAAAGCGAGCAGGGGGAGAGTCCTCGCCCGTCAGTCACGCCAGCAGCATGAGCTGCGCTTTGAACTCGCAGAGCATCAGCTGCTCCGCAGCAACTGCCCCTGACAAACCTGCAGGAGAAGGGGCGAGGGAGGATCAACAGACAGTTACCACAGACCAGCTGCCACGGGGGTCAGTCCACATGTTATCTGGCCCCGTGGCGGCTCGCTTTGCTCTGTCCCTGGTCTCTGTTAGCGCCGTCTGCGCCTGTCACAAAGCCTTGCATGCTTCAGCAGTTCCTCTCCCCGCTCAGGAGTGTGGAGCCTGGCATGATATTTTTCAGTGGAGCCATGGGATTCGGAAATGAGTAGAGCCTTTTTGCAGGACGTAATGCGCCTCCTTGGCTTCAAAGCACTAAGAAGATTACCATCCAGGCCTCCAGGGAGGGATGCAGTGCTCCTCTTAGTGCTTTCAGATGAACAGCAATTCAGTATTTACAGACACCAAATCGTTTTAGCAGAAAGAGTCAAGAACTCACAACGCCCTAGGAACCATGGCCAAAAGCCCTGCAACAGGCTGGGTCCTCAGTGGGCAGGCAGTAACCCTTTGTGTCCCAGACCCCTGTGCTCCCTAGCCCTTTTTGTAGCAGAGATTCTTGCTGACAGAAAACATTCAACAATCTAGTTTGGCTTCAGAGGAACAAGTGAAGCAATTGCCGGTGAGGAAGTGCCTGATTTCCTCCATGGAGATACTCAAAACCCAACTGGACATGAGCCTGGACAACCTGCTCTAGTTGACCCTGCTTGAGCAGGGATTTGGACTAAGTGATCTCAAGAGGTCCCTTCCAACCTAAACTTTCTGTGATTCTGTGATTTGGCAGGAATATTTGAAATGTAAGAAAAGTGGGAGTCTTTGGGAAATTTTTGACCCTGCTGTCCTGGAATCTAAGCACAGGAGGCCCAGCGAATCCCCCCAAGTGCCCTGTGAGCACAGCGGTGGTGTGGCCAGCGCCATCCCGGGGGCTAGTTCCACATGAGTTCACAGGCTGCTCAGGAATTTCCTCTGGCATTCTCCACTTGCGAGGATGCTGGACACACAGCTCCCGGTCTGGAAACCTTCTCCTCCTCGCTTTGCCTGTTAAACCTCATCTGAAATGGGAGAAATGAACTGCTGGCCTTCGGCAGCACCTCCCTGTCACTTTGTGCACCCGCCAGCCTTGTCTGTTGGGTACACTCAGGGCACCCCACTTGTCCACGTGGGGCTGTGAGAGGGCACGTGGCCCTGCGTGCGTTTAACCCAGCTGTTCTCATTGCACAGGATACTGCTTTCCTCTCTGCAGAGCCCTACGCTGCCTGGGCGTCCCAGGGGCCACATAGGAACTCACCCACACTTGCCTTTGTTTTTAGAGGCTAGTTTCTCAGCTTCCCTGGGGGTCTTGAAGAGGACTGGCTCACTGGCAGGGCTCTGGCCTTGGATGCTGATGGACTGGACATGCACAATGTACTCAGTGTCCTCCTCTAGGTCCCAGAGGGCACAGGAGCGGGTGGTGGTGTTCACCTCCTGGATGAAGCGCAGCATCCGCACGTCCTTCTTCTGGAAGCCGAGAGAGGAGAGCACAGAGTGGTGGAGAGGCCTCCCGTGTGCACTGCTGTCATCTAAGACCACTGCTTCCTGCCCTGTCCACCATGGACGTGGAGACCGTCGGACCCTTTCCCCTCTGCAGCTACCAATACGTGAAGCGCTGCTGCAAAGAGGACGGGAAGCCAAGTCCCCTCCCAGACCACGAGGGACAGGACGAGAAGGAATGGGCTTAAACTTCAGCAAGAGAATTTGGAAACTGAGGGGACCTGGGGTGAAGATGAACATGACCAAAACTGGGTAACTGTAGGCACCATACCTGTTGGGAAATTGCAAATCCAATGACAACTTCATCTTCCAGGACATCCCAAGTCACAACGGCTGAGTTGGCTTTCAGGTGTTTGACTGTGACATTTACTGGAGCCGACGGGCTGTCTGCAAGGAGGGAGAGCAGAGCCTTTACAGAGGCAGGAGACAGAGCAAGGGCAAGGAAGGGAGTGGGAAAAGACCTTGCTCAGGGTCCTTCCTGTCTACAGTTCTGGATGTGGGACCGGCAAATTGCAGGTACTCCGTGTCTTAATTACCAGTGAGGTTCTAGGAGATCTCTGCTGAGACTATGAGTTGCCTTAGACACGTGCAAAATGACTGACCCTTGGAAAGAGTTTCTTTTAACAGCACAGAGGACCACCAAGTAGCTCATTCATCTCATCCTTCCCAGCCACGTGCTGTGTTTTCTCTGTTGTTTCCCATTACGGTCTGACAGTGACAGCTGGGAGGAAATGCATAATCTGCCTTGGAAGCATGAAAACAGAGTGCTTTGATGAGCACTCTGGAGGTTTGAAATTCAGGAGTAGAAAATGGGACTGTTTCTTTTGCTTTTCCCTTTAGTTGGACAGAGATCTTTTTATACATGTTTTGCAGCTGATGGGCTGTCTCTCAGATGGTGGGAGGACATCCAGCAACCATCTGCTTGCAGCTAACAGGACAGAACGCGCTACAACAGCACCGATGGACCATTGTCCTGTGAAAAGGGCAGGCCAGGAGAGCAGTAGCCTGAGGCTCCGTGTTTATTCCCAACTCCAGAGTGCAGCTGAGTTTCCAACTGTGGGGCGGATCTGCGTAGCTGCCAGCCTTGCCAAAGAGAGCTGGGCTGGGATGTACCAGCTGGGCTCCTGCCCTCCTGCACACCCTCACCGGGAGCCTCTTCCTGAGGGAGCTACACAGTGCAAAGCCCTTCTGGGCATCTCAAGGGGAAGGTTTTACCTCGTGGGCTTGGCACAGTCCTTCTAGTGCTCCGTGCAGCAGGTTGGACTCCTGTTCCCTCTCCTCTGCTGGAATTTAATTCACAATCTCCAGCCTCTGCCCCGAACCTGAAGGCAGTAGATGCTAACGAGACTGCTAGGACTCCGACTACCCCCAGGAGGTCAGTCGGGTGAGGAGTAGTCCTTTTTTCTGACTCTTATCAAAGAATAATACTCTTACTGCACAACGCTGCCCTTGTGGGGCTGGGGCTGAGGTCAACAGTAAAAGAAGGATGCATGTGTGCGCGTCTCCAGTAACACTTGTTGGATTTATAGTCAGTCCCAGCCGCCTGAATGTGGCCGAAAATATTCTAGCTGTAGTGTCAGTGTCTTGTAACAACTGACTTCACTCCCAGTGAATGTTCCTCCGGGAACAGAGAAAATAACGGGAGCACGAAACTCCCCAGCTGAAGGTCAGCGCTGTTCTACACTTAGCAGAGCGATGACCTTATTCCTTTCTCTCCTCCACAAACAACACCCAGAGTCCAGCCTTCAGAGCTCCCCTTGCCAGCAGATGGGAGACCCACCCACCAGTGACACCCGTAGGAACAGGGTGTCTGGACACGCCGTTGGGACCCGGGTTGATTCTAGCGAGTCCTTCAGTGAGCAAAAAGGTCTCTGAACGGTGCATGGCTAAGTTCACGTCAATTTGGGACTTCAGAAGGAGGAGCAGCGAGCAATCGTGGCCTCCAGGATTTCATAAAGATGTCCTTCCTCTCTGGAGTAGATGATCAAGTCGCTATTGACCCAGAGCATTCTCGTCTCTCAGGGGCTGGCCTTCATGAAATGAGGCAGTGGTCTCTCCAGCCAGCTCTCAGAGAACGGCAACATTTATCCTCCTCACCATCCACTGCAACAGCAGGGCCAAGGACAAGCTGAGCAGGGGAGACGGATCATCCTCCTCAGACCGAACACCGAGTCCCTTCTGGACTCAGCTCCCTGCTGTGACACAAGGAAGGGACGTGGGTCTGCAGCGCCTCGCCTTCCCCCGTGACTGAACCTGTGTGCCAACAAGGGTAGGGTCTAATTTTAGGAAGGGGCAGTCAGCAGATGGGAATGCGTACGGGGAAGGTCTGTGAGTCATGCCTGATGAATTTGCTAGAACATACGGAGGACATGACGGAGTTGAGAGATGGGAGACAAAACAGTGTCCAGCTGCAGCCAGGCACTGCACCCTTCTCAAAGTGCAGCTGTACAGTTAAATCCCGCCATGGTTGTCTTTCCTGGATATTTTTAGGAGCTAAATTTTTTTAGGAGCTACCACTGATTTACCCAGCTTAGGCTGAGGAGGCCTTTGAAAAGAGATGAATTAACCCTGCAGGAACAGAGAGCAGAGTATCAAGGAAAAAGCTTCAGGCTGGGAAAAGGGAACGTACAGCACGCCACGCGCGGTGCCCGAGTCTCCGTTGAAATTTGTGACCTTGAGGGAGGCATTGCATAAAAGTGGTGAAGTTTCCTGATGACATCAAATGTGGGGGAGTTGGGAAGACCTAGCAGAGCTGGAGAAGAACAAACAACCTCTCTGGGAATTGATGAGAGAAGGTGGAGGGCTGTGAGGCAGAAGGGAAGCGCTCGGCAAAGCTGCCACCCAGGGCTCAGAGCCTGCAAAGCAGGACTCAGGATGTAGGCAGGGGAGCTGGTGTGGGTGATCGAGAGGACTCTGTAAAACCCCCGTCGTAGTCAGACCTGAGAGAGAGATGGAGTAGTTGAAGTCAGCAGATAATACAGTGAAGTCTAGGACAGCAGATCTGAGTGTGCCTTTCCTTTCACTCCCCCAGATTAGGAGCAGCTTCACATAAATCAGTGGTGTCAAACGGCTATAAAAGCGTTAGGAAAAGAGAATTAAGCACGGCGTTTGACAGAAATACAAAGCCAGGAAAATTAGTTTCCTGCTCCCAGCGCTGAGTGAATAATTTGGAACCGAAATTTTAATCCATGAGGATGCTTTTCTCCTCGCTCCCGGGAGATGCATGATGAGATCATGACTTTCTAAAATCTAATCACTGTTCCAAGATATTCCACACCGCTTTTGGCTCCCTGGGCCAGTTGCGGCTCTTTGTAGTGCCAGCCTGGCTGAGGTCAGGGGGAGAAGATGTAATTTCTGGCATCTCTAGCAGGGCCTTGAGGTGCCAAATCCAAATGTTTGGTTCCTTCTAGAGGAGTCACATGCAACCCCTGGAAACTTTGCTTCTGTGCCCAGGGAAGCCGCTGCTGTTGTGGGAGCGGGCACAGAGGGTGGGATGGCCCCAGGGGCTGTTCCTTGCCCTGCTGCGGGCGAGGTAGCAAGGAGCAGGCTGTGGATCGAACCTTTCTGGCGCGTGTTTACTCCAGAGCACATCCCCTGTCTGCTCTGTAAGGGACCCCTACGGCACAAGATCTCTGGTTTAGCAGTTTAGCTTCGTCTCGGCGCAGAGGCTGCGGTGCCTGCCGGAGCGAATCACACGTTGCAAACGGGCAGAGGGTCTGTTTGGCCAAATTTGAACGAGAGCTATGTGCTCGGAGGAGAAGATGCTCTCGTTCTGGTGTCAGCAGAAACTGCAGCCCCCTCTTTAAGGGGAAGCCCTGATTAATGAAGATAAAATCATGATTTTTAAACGCGAATGGCTGCTTCAAAACTGATCATGCTTAAGCCGTGTCTTGTTTTCTTCCCACAGGGACCCTTCACCAGCTGACTCGCTGTCCTCCACCCCCCAGGGCTGCGTGTCCCAGCCATGCCTCGCTCCTGCCGACCTTGGGCCCTTTTGGCAAGAGCAGGTCAGAACCGTCTCCGCACAGCAAGGAAGCACGAGCGATGAAGATTGCCCTTAATCCCCTCTCAATGCTGAGAATTCCTTCTAGCCTCTCATTAAACACTTTGCTGATTATTAATGGACTTTTATTTGAGAGAGAAAAAAAACCAAACCCCACATTTTACAGCTTTGGGCTGATTCCTCCCCGGCTTTTCATTGTTGACACGGCGGCTGCTGGCACAAGGAAGAGGAAACCACCCGCCTGCCCCTTATGTTGACTTCACCGTCGGAGCTGTAGCTTGGATGGGATGGAGAGCGAGGAAGAAAGGGGCAAAGCTTTGTCTCCATCCCACTGCTGCTGTCCCCTATGAAGGTGAGTCTGCTGATTGGGGGTGGTGGGGTGAGCAAAGGGGGTGTCCAAGACACCAGGGCACCTCTAGGATCAGGGAGGTACCTAGGCCACAAAGACATCACTGGGAGATGCTCAGAGCTCCTGGCTCCTCTGCCACGGTCCCTCTCCTGACTGTTTTGTGTCTCTGACTTGTGAAGCCGCTCTCAGTTTGCACCTTCTGCCCTGAGCTCTTACGGTGGGGCTGGGGGTGGGAGCTGGCTTGCTGCCTTTAGCCGTGCGAGCTGCTGGGGGGGATCACCGCTTGGAGTGAAAGGTGGAAATGTCACACCCTGGGAGGTCACCGCTGCCGGCCGAGTCCTGTGGTCAGGCTGTAGTTCTGCGATTAGAGCGTATTCCTGGGTTTCTCTCCCCAGCCCAGGGGCCCAGCCTGGCCCTAGAACTCTTCCTTCCAAATTCAACTGTCCTGGAAATGGCACCTACTTGGAAGTGCCTGGAGTGGCAGTTGCTTCCTACATGGCTAAGGCTATGCTGTAGTCACATCATTTTCCAATTCCTTTAGCTCCTCTCCCACAAAGCAGCTCCTTTCCTGCTGTGAAAGGCTCAGCTGCTTCAGAGCCCCCCAGGACACGGTCCAGCGAGCAGAGTGCCTGCCGAGACAGCTTGCTCGGTGCTATCCACCGGCAAGCTGTGTGCCCTTTCCTGCAGGGAGCAGTGAATGCCAGCCTTAAATCCCAGTAGCTCTTTATTCCTGCACTGCAACCTTCCCTGTGGACACGAGAGCTGGAAGGACACGACCTGCAAGGGGAAGGAGCATCCCGTAAGGTCCCGTGTGATGTTCTCTGCGGAGCTCTGCCGCCCGCTCCCTGAGCGTGGGTACAAAAAGACCCGCTTTCGCTGCCTTTCTGAGCCTTTCTTTGCTCTCCCAGCATGGTTCCCTTCAGTGGCTGTAATTGCTTGTCAGCTTTATGGGGTATGTGGGAAGGGCTGGCGTGCCGTTCAGCTTCCCCGAGGGTTTTAATGAAGGGAGCCTGCAGGGGAGTGGGAGGGAGCAGAGCCCACCGCTGCCATCCCGCTC